CTGACGTTTTGGCTGCAATACGATCTTCAGTTGACTTGGAACATGTATAGTTGTGAATTCTGGCTTTCAATTCTTGGGTTATGATTTAGAATACTGAATCAAGGCGCAGCAAACAAACAAGAATACACATTACGCAAGAGGGGAGACGATACTGATAACTGCAAAGTTCAGGGACAAAGCCAATAACCTGGTAAAATACTCAATGCCAAAAAAGACCTGTCACAAAAGAAATATGGAGGATGCCACTGAAAATCTTGTTGCCTGGTTGTCTATGCTTTTGATACTTTGGGTCTCAGACCTCAAACCAGTGTATAGACCTAAAATGTAACAAGTCCTTGTTTGCATACTTGTAGATCACAAACTCTACACTATTAGAGCTAGAGTCCATATGTCGGGCAGTTAGCATTTTCAGGAGAGGTCCATGATGACCGCCGGCATGTTTCTCTCAGGACAGGCTTCCTTTTATGAAGACACACGTTTGAATTTTGAAAGTCAGATTCTTTCCAGAACAATCTTTACTGTAGGCCATTATTTTCAAGGACAAATTAAGCTTATACTGCCACCTGCTGGTGTGTTGCCAAGTTACATGTGCGTTTATGATTCAGACTGGGTTTACGGGTTTACAAACATTGCATTTCTCAACCTTTTTACTATGGAGGAACCCTTACAAAAATGTCAGATGTTGGGGAACCCCTGAATTTTTTTAACAGCTCATAGTACATTAGCAATATAACATAAATCCACCTTTTTGATGGGAAACCTTGGCTTGTTTTTTTCCTGCACAATTAATAAATCCAGCGGCAAAACACACCTGCAGTTGTATTTAGGAGCAAAAATACATTAGCGTTGGTTTTCAGTGGCTTAAAATAAGTCTATTTACCCTGTACTGTGCTGCGGAATATGTGGACACTATAAAAATGAAGGTGCTAAATAATAAAGAGGTCAGTAAAGAGGACAGTGTTTTTTCGATGATGATACCAACACTATTACCGGAACACAAACAATAATAGTAATAATTCTGTTCACTTGCTGTCCAGTAACATGCCCCCATCCCCAGAGAAATCCTCATACGCCCAATAATATTATTGTCGTCCTGGTCCAGTGCTTGGTGGTGCAGCTTGTATGGGGTTCAACCAAGCTAAACCAGATTGCTGACATTCTACCTTCAGAGCAAACCTGTTACTTTGCCCAGTATGGGCCCCATACAAGTCAATAGATGCCTATTCATACTATACTCACTGAACATTCTTGGGCTTGGACCAGACCATATTCTGGGTTTCTTTCATTCCAAGACGCAATCCATTTAATGCACCAAATGCTGCACCTAAAAATCAAAGCAATTGTATATTATAAATAAAATATTCAATAATAGAGCAAACCATTACATCAGTTACCAGCCCTCCTATTCGCACAGCCTGTGTATAGCTACAGAAGAGGCTTCGATTCACATGCTATAAAATTAATGGTTAGGTGGACTGGCACTCAAATATGCCAAACTTGCTGATAAAATGTATAAGTCCCAAACTAGCGCCAAACAAGTAAGGCTTGTGAGGTGCACTCTCAAGGAATCACAACACTACTAGAAGCTGAAGTTCCACATATCACCAGAACGGTAACAATGGACTCCAGCAGAAAGTAGTAGTGCCTTTATCTCCCAGCAGTGTAACACTATCACAGGCATGGAAAGCACTGGACAGCTGACTACCGCTGGAATCTGTACCTGATCCACATTAGACAGCCATACAGAAGAGGTCCTCTCCTCTGTATGGCTGTCCTGGTGGGCTACGTTTCCTGCCTGGCGTACAAAGGTGCCATGCAGGCCATCATTAGTGCAGATCTAGTGACAACTCTCACCTGTGCAGCTATGAGCAGTTCCACTTTTGCAGCCAAATTGGGATGCCACCTATTTGATAAATGTTCACATTCACATAGCATAAGCTATACAGATTTATAACATGCTTCTTGCAGTTCAAATTGCTTTCACTTGGCTTCTTAAGGGTTAGAATTTCTACTTGCTTCTCCTCCTTTGTAATGTTATGAGGGGTTGCTGGGTGGTAGTGAAACACAATCCTCAAATTTCAGCCCCAAGTCTTAGGACAGATCACCGTGAATGTGCTCAGAAAAACTTGGATTCAGCCATCTTTCCTGTTGCAACAAAACATCTTGAATGTATTATTTAAAAAAAATATATATATATATTTTTTGGTATGATGTGTGAATGGGAACAAACATAGAGGGGTTTTCTCAAAAGTGACTGCAAAAGTGGAAACACACTGTAAAGCAGACACCCATAGAGAGTACTTTCTCTCATCTGCTTCCT